TTGGTGTTGCAGGATGTATTGTATTCTTGGTCAGGTTTCTTGGTGTTGCAGGATGTATTGTATTCTTGGTCAGGTTTCTTGGTGTTACAGAATGTATTGTATTCTTTTAAATATCTTCCATATTTACAAATTCCTTCACAGTCTGTGCAGGCTTCACTTTTAACCCCAGTGCAAAGGTCAGTACTTGTTCGAACACATCAATAGACAATGCCTCCAAGTCGAGGCTGGACATGATAAAATACAGTAAATGTATGGCTACATCAAGTCGAACCTCGACTTGAAGCCATTGTTTCGTGGTCACTGAAGTAAATTTTGTTAAGGTCTACTAGTTTAGTTCACTTTTCGTTAATTTTAATGAAGCTATACTTCTTTTTTTAACATAGACGTTGGATTTCACGGTAACAGTGGATGGCATAGTGGTGTTCAAAAAGACTATTTCAGGTATAAAAAAAACTCCTTGCTTGGTCTGAACCTATTTTGCTAATTAATAATAGGATCAAATTGGAATTTAGAAGTTGAATTTTGCAAGGGGATGATCTCGGGAGAAGACTCAAGGAAAAAAAATCCCCTGGCATCACGGGAAAGAAAATCTTTTACATTTATCATTGCATTTTCTTATTATCATTTTTTAGTTGACAAGCCTGTAAAGTACTGTCGCGACTTTCCAATCGGAGGCAAGAATGCTAACATTTGTCTCGGACTATCGGATATATCCTTCAAAGAAGGTCACACTGGTGCTTGCATCTACATCGAGATCAACTATAAGTTTATTCACTGGAAACAAGACCTGGGTTGTATCTATGAAGTTGTTCAGCCCATCAACAACACAAAGCTCAAAGCTATCAGTTTCTTTAAGAAATAGTTAAATTGCTTGCATCACCTTTGGGTTAAACCTTAAAACAAAGCAATTTGTGATTCGCTAGTTGTGTTTTAGTTCCTAATAATAGTCTGTAATATTGAGTTAAAACTTGAAAGTCAAATAAAAGGGATCAAGAACGCATCGAGAATTTTATAAAAAATAAAACAATTGGACGTGAAATTTTGTAGTTTACTACTTTTTTCGTTCCAAAAATTTGCATTTAGATAAAATGAAATAAAACTGTCTCCATGGAATTCTAATGTTGTCTTAATTTTTAAACAGCAAGTTCTCTACCACGTATCACGTACGTAACGTCCTCAAATTTTATTTTTGAAAAGTTCCGCATCTGGATCCGGTTGTACCACTAGAAATTCTTCTCTCAGCGAACACGATTCAAGGCTATCATCCCAGCAACTTTTACCACAAGAAAAGACGATAACAGTTCCGAATTCAATCCCTTGATTTTTACTTGAAATATCTTCTGAGGGAGTGTCAAGTTCTCTATTTGAATCCTTTCTTCCATTTATGAGTTTATCATCAGATATTTGTTTATATTGAGGGTTTGTTCTAGGTTTATCTGATGTCTCAGGTAAAGCTGAATGTAGTGAAGATTCTTTGATTTTTAGCAAGACTACCAAGGCTGGCATAAGTTGTAATTCATAAACCCTTTGTGAGCCACAATACTGACATCTAGGTACTGCTGACATGATATCTGATGCTGTAGAGGATGAGATCGATAACGGCATGCCATTCCACTCATATCTATCCATCATGTGCATCAAAGATAATAATAATTAGAATTATCATATGACCCCTATCTGCCCAGGCGCGCGCTCTTAAAAAAACCTTTGGGAAAATGGCATGAGCAGGGCCGTACGGCTTTGAGCGAGCAGGGCTGTATGAATCTGTATGGCCCTGCTCAAATCCACGTGCTTTCTCTTTTGTAGCTTTTATTTAGTATTTCTTTCTTTCTTTTATTTTATTTTATTTTATTTCGTAACAGTCATACAATAAAATGCTTATTGACTGAGTGGGAGGGCCGTACGGGAAAATATTTGGCTCTCCAATACTTTGAAATTCCAAAGGCCTTCATTATGGAAAACATTATTAAATATTCTACACAAAACAAGGTGGGCCCAGCTGAGCAAAAGAGGACTGTGAAATGGAGTATTCGGACTGCAAGAGGTCCACCTATGTTTCACAGTTGCTGTCACTTCTTTCAATGGTGGATTGATTAGGGTTAATCAATGACCCTTGAGAGGCAGGGGTTTGTCTGTCAACACCTATCCCCCTCCCCCTGGGGGAAGAAGACTAATTCATTATTTTAGTGTAGTACTAACCTTATGCACTGCTGTGGGCACTGTTGTAAATGCTTCTGGAATCTATGAAACCCCTTGTCTCCATGAGCTACAATGGTCTTCTCATAACACTCTGTTACAATTTCATCTTGCTTGGCATTTGAATGGTTCGGAAGAGATAATACTTCATTTATGCTCACACCCTCTTGTTCTTGGTAACACAACAGAAGTTGTTTTTCATGACTGGTCAAGCTAGTTTCACCAGTTTTTTTGTTGCTATTGTTGGTTTCAAACACATTGATGTAGAATGGATGGAAGCGGGGCGCATCTTGATTCATATTGTTTGATATTAAGGGCTTAGTGCTACTATCGGTTTTCACTGGTAATTGGTTTGTGTCTTTTACTGTATCCATAGGATTAAGGGATAGCTTGCTTGCAGCATATTCAAGTTCTGTAATGACAGGATCATTCCAATCATCTGCACTATGGGAAGTAATCAAAACATAAATGAATAAATAAAAAATTAATAAATGAAGGATTGGAAACATTACTGAAGGATGTAAGAAAGGAAGGGGATGAATGCAGGAATGATTGAATGAATGGATTTAGATGAAGGAAGGAAAGAGGGATGAAACAAATTGATAAAAATGAACAGACTTGTGAATAAAATAATAATTGAATGCAGAAAGGAATGAACAAATGAATGGATGAATGAAAGATGAATGAAGGAATAAATGAATGAACAAATGAATGAAAGAATGTGTGAGGGTTTGAGAAAGCATTTGACATACTCTCCCCAGTCTCCTGTATCATCACCCCAATCATCTACAGAATTACTCTTCACAGCATTCTGCAAGCATAAAATGAAAACAATCATCACACATTATATATCATTTAATATTTATTCCAAGAAGAAATCTTATCTTTCTTTTAAATATACCTTGTCAGCCTCTGGATAATCGTTTTTCTCTAATACTTGGGATCTTAGGATTGTCCAACTAAAATGAATAATGACAAAATAAGTCAATCTTCCTCCTCCTAGTCGGTCTGAGGTGGTTGCATATTGTGTATAGCTCTACTAATCTAACTAGAATAAGCTTACCTTTGTGGTTGATTCCAACAAGATGGGTTAACACAACCAAAGATATACAGCGTCCTGTGGTATAGAGAACCACTAAGAGGACAGTAGATTTGTGAAACAAGAAGAAGTTGTCTTTTACACAGCTTACACGAAGGGTATTGATCAACCAAGCTAGTCATCCAGCTCTGAAAAACAACACAAACTTTGCTTGACACAATCTCTACTATGAAAAATGCTATGTATTAAATAATTAAATGGAAATAAAATAACATACAGGACGTCCACCAAACTTATTTGTACTCCAATTACACAGTTTATCGTCATTTTCTTCAATTCTTTGGTCTGGAAGTCCCAAAAATACCTGACTACTGTCCGCCATTTTTAAATGTTCACCTGCGCACAGGGAACCCATGATATGATACATTATTCCACAGGAAACCCAATTCCAATTTCTACTCATCCACTTTGAACTAGATTTTATCCAAAATCAATTACCACTAGTTTTCAACTGTTTTAGAGGCTATATTCTATTATATCTGGAGAAGTAAACATCCCACAGAAAAAAGCTTCGATAACGATGCCTTTTTTTCTTGGTGTTATTCAGTCAGTTGACAAATGAAAGGGGTCAGTAATGCACAGCCCCCACCCCAACGGGCTTAAATCGCTAAAATTAAGGCATACAGGAATGATGGGNAAAAAAAAAAAAAAAAAAAAAAAACGATAAAAGATACCCTAAATTTCGAAAAAGAGGCAAATATTTGCGTTGCTGTAGCAACTTTGTGATTAGTTTGCCCTGGGCGTGCCCTGGGTAATTATCAAATTGTCCACGAAAGCGATTCTTTTAATTAAGAAGACAGCTTTTTAATCAGTTTGAAACGTTCTCTTCAGCAATGGAGATCCCTCATCCGACGAATCGCAGAAGGGTATAGGGAAGTTCAAACGAAAATAGATGAAAACTTAAAAGAACAAGAAATTAGTTTCCGTGGTAACTGTAAACAAACAAAGAGAATCTAGTTCTATAAAATTTATGTATATTCTGTGCATGTTATAAGTAGACTAACTGCTATGCTATGCGTTTACTAAGCTACGAGGCTCGCACTGTGGACGGAATGGATGAGAGGAAATCTCTGCGTATACTTCGATGCAATGAATGTACTGTTTAGGTTTTTGTTGGTCAAAATGTAGCAGGTAAGCCGGCCACAAACTAGAATTCAAAAATTTGAAACAGCCGCAAAGTGAGATTTTTTGTTTTTGTTTTATTGCTTCTTTAAAAAAAAGTGTCGGATCCCGGCTATATTATGTATATGATATACTACTGGTGTATTCACTGCTTGGTTCGTGGTTCACTTTAATATGTAATCGTGTGCTTAAAACACGTATTAGTAAAAAAAAAAAACGTTTCCTGCCAAGTTACTAAAATGATTTGGGTTGTAATCTTCCTTTTCTATCGAATTCAATTGAATTTAGGTTTTGTAGCTGAAGGCTGAAATCTGCGGTAGTTGTTATAAAATGGTCCATCTGAGATTGTCTGAAACGCCTTAAGAAACTAGAACTTTAGCGTTTTATTGTCGACATCAATCCGCTGGCCAACTCCCAGATGAATCTGGGCACGAGATTATTGATGGCACTTTCATTTTGTGATTTCTAAAAATCCCTTAATGATTAGCATCAGTATTTCTTATACCCTATTCAAAACCAAGTAACTAATATATATATGTATATATATATTTAAGTTCTTTTTCTAATTCACGTCCAATTTCCCGCGGTCTAAAACGGTCCCAAAAAATTCTTTCCGAAGACGTTCCGAAAAAAACCGGTTACTGTTCATTATGTTCCGATGAGTTTCCGATTTTTAGGCGCGCGGCTTCATTGAAACGATCAACAAGATGGCGGCCAGTTCAGGTTCTTCTTTACCACCAAGGCCAGTTAGTGTGCCTTTACTCAGTAGATCCTTGTGTTCTGACTTTCCTTCATCAAGAAATGCAAAGTGCAGGTCCAAAACTCCACTGGTAGGTCAAAATATCCGTTAAAAATGTCAGCAATAAGACATTCGGATTGTTGTTGACAGTTTACACAGGATATCTTTGATCAATTTGTTTGTTTATACTCTTTTGTGCGGCAAATAATTCACGTATTTTTGGCATTGAAGGCTAGATTTTTTATTTCAGTATTTTTCAAAGTATCGCCTTCCATTATAGATCTTGATCAGTGAGATTGGTTTGAGGTGAAAGCCTATTTTTCAGTTGCTAATTAAGGTGAATCGCTGGGCGAGAAACCCTTCAAAACTACAGCTTTGAAAAATGTCTATCCTTCGAATCTAGTTCTCCTCAAAATGAAGCCCTTTTTTTCCAAAAAAATGAATTCAATACATATATTCAAAATAACAACCATATTTATTCAAATGCAACCAAACGCAAAGCTGTCAAGAAAGCGTAACTACAAGAATGAATTTTGAATTGTAAGAATGTTATAATTTGACAGCTGATTAGAAAATGGTAAAATGTCAAAATTAAGAAGGTAAAATACTTCATTTTTCTCCGTTTTTTTTTGCTTATCCACTTCAGATATAAGGCTTAAGATGAATTCAAAACTCCTGCTACGCAAAAAGGCGATATATTATTCATATTTGATAAGGAACTGGAGTTTTTTCGATTGCTTGCTTAGTGGTGAATGTAGTGGATTTTATGGATTTGATGTGTGTTGGTGATAATATTCAATATTTTTCTTATAATACTAGTAATCTTTCTTTCCCTATATTTGTCTTATTTGGTCCCTGGTCCAACATCTGCACAGTGGGTTTAGTCAAATATTACAATAAGATTACAACATTTTTTCATAGAAGAAAAAAACAAAACGAAA